ATTTGATGTAGAGAAAGTGATTGACCGGCTGCTGGAAGGGCATAATGACCTCATGACCCTGAAGGAAATCCTAGCGTCAGCCCCGCGACTTCGCGTTGAACTGAAGGGGAGGTTATCACGGCGCCTGGTGCCCAATGTCCATTTGGGTACGATCCTGCCCAAGGAGGCAGAGTGGGCAGAGTCAGGTATGAAGATGGACTGGAAGTGCGTAGCGTGCGGTATGGTGGAGTTGATGGTGAAGGGTTCCAAGTGCGCAGCAATGGTGGACACCGGGGCAGAGATGAACATTATTCGGGAGGCGGACGCGATCAGATTCGGGCTGGATATAGACTGTTCTGACTGCGGTATTCTGCATGGAGCCAGCTGTAAGGCCGTGTTTTGCGGGACAGCCTCGAATGTGCTCGTCGAGGTTGGAAAGGTGAAGGTCAGGGCATGCTTCTTCATAATGCCRGACGTGGACCATGGAATCCTCCTGGGAGGTCATTCCTAAGTAGGACAGAGACCGTGATGTTCAACAAACATGATGGGACGTTGATCCTACTCTTATGCGATCTTGCCTGCGGGAATTACGAAATAATTACTTTCAGGAACACCGGGCCAAGGAGTATTAGGAATCGGCCCAATCCAGGATCATTCACAATCGAGGAGTCGGAAGGGGAGCGCAGGAGGCTCTGGGCAAAACCCGAAGGAGGAGAGAGGGCAGAAGCATTTTCCCTCAGCCTGTCAGATGTTGGGAAGGCCATGGACCTGGTGGTCGCGCATGAGATGGCAGATCCGGATGCCATCCAGGCCTTGAGGGAGCAAGTTCTGGAATGCCCTAAGGCAGGAAGGTTGGAAATTGTATATCGGCTCCCAGGCAGCGGAGGGAACCCCGCATCAGCGCAAACACAATCCGTGAGTCGGCCTTTTTTAGGGGACGGCTCAAGCAGGGTTCTCAAAGGCGGTACAAGACGGTAGACAAGAAGTGCCACCCGGTACCCGTCCTCGTTACAGTGGACGAGGAGGCATATTACGAGAGGGAACGAGGGTTGATACGACGAATAAGGGAGAGTGCTTTAGCAGGGCCATGTCGTATCAACGAAGGGAACGAGAAGGAGTTGATCATAGGGGAGTCTGATTTCCTGCTGCCTCAGGAGCGAACGTTGATGGTGGAATTAATGAAGAGGAAGCATCGCGCCTATGCGTTTAGTAACGAGGAGCGTGGCAGGCTGGATGTGGATAAGATACCTATGATCCGCATCTACACCATGCCACACGAGCCTTGGAACATGATGGAGGCGCGATATCCCAACCCTGACGAGGAAAGGAAGGTGGTGGATTACCTCGACGGCAAGATACGTACTCACGTCGCTGACTATTCAACTGAACCGTATTCGTCCCCGTGGTTCTGCTTTATTAAGCCTAACGGGACGCTGCGGTGGGTGCAGGATTTGCAAAGACTGAATGCGGTGACCGTGCGAGATGCTGGAGGACTGCCGAATGCAGACGCGCTGTCGGAATCCTGTGTTGGAAGGCCTATAATTTCGCTTATAGACCTTTACTCAGGATACGATCAGTTCCCAGTCTATCCGCCGGAAAGGCCGGTGACGGCTATGCACGCGCCGCGAGGATTAATCCACATGAACGTGGCTGCACAAGGGTGGACCAACGCAGTAGCAATGGTCCAACGGGCCATGATTCAGGCCATGCAGTCAGTCAGCCCCCATATCACACAGCCATATATTGATGATTTGGCAGTGAAGGGGCTGGCGATGAAAGAGAGCGACGAAGTCTCACCAGGGGTAAGGCACTTTGTCTGGAAACACATCCAGGACCTCGAAAAGGTCGTGAGCCTGCTCGAGGAGCATAACCTCACGGCAAGCGGGGCCAAATCCAGACACTGCATGAGGGAAGCGACTATCTTGGAGATCGTCTGCAATGAGAAGGGTCGAAGGCCGGATGTGAAGAAGACGGACAAGATTACTGAGTGGCCAGTTTCGTTCCACTCAATAACTGATGTCAGGAGCTTCCTTGGTACGTGTGGATTTTGGAGAGCCTTCGTCAAGAATTTTGCCGCTAAGACTGAACACTTGAGGAAGTTAGTCCGTCAAGATCAGGAATGGGTATGGGGTGAGGAACAACAAGAGGTGGTGGCAAAAATGAAGGAGGAATTTCGAGAAGGAGGGTTGGTGTTAGGAGCGCCAGATTATAACACCACAGAGACGCGACCCTTCATTGTCGAGACGGATGCGGGACCGACTGCCTTAGGGGGACTTCTAATTCAGGCAGACATGGAAGGAAAGGAAAGGCCCTTGCGATTTGAGAGTCGGACTCTCTGTACGACGGAGAGGAACTACTCTCAGTTCAAGAGGGAGACCCTTGCTGTTCTCCACTGTCTGCGAATCTTCCGGAACTATATCTTCGGCAGGATGTTTATTTTGAGAGTGGATCCGACCACCCTGGCCTACTCTCTAAGGAATTACGTTCCATCGAATCGGACGGTTGTCAGATGGCTGACGTACATCTGGATGTTCAATTTCGAATTGGAACGGATTTCTTGGTAGTAAGAACCGGGCGGACGGGCTGAGTCGGATCAACTGGGATAAACAGGAAGGGGAGGCGGTGGAGAACACACCCCCAGTTGATGGATTTCTGGATCAGGAAGAAGATGTTCGTCTTCATATCAACAAGTGGTCGCCACGAGTGCCCAGCTGTGTAGGCTATCCTATCTGGCAAGCGCCGAAGGGGTATGAAAGGAGGAATGAGCTAGTCCTTAAGCCCTTTGAGGAAGAAGATCCCTAGGGCGGTAATCATGTTCAGTGGATGATGGAGCTAGCGTTGGTCAGCTCGCATAGCCTCGTGGAGGACATGAGAACGATTGAGGAAGGACCTGGCCAGGTAGAACGGCATGAGGACCAGATGGGAGGAATGTATCTCCTCGTCAACACGTTACTGCAGGAACGCCTTGACCAGTCAGGCTCGTTGAACTCGACAGGAAATGTGGACGAAGTACCCGAGAGCTAGGACGACGAGTTCGAGGAGGGGGAGATTAAGGAGGCTTTTCGTGCAGAGGAGTACGACGGGATCTACCTAGAACTGGGGTTTCTTCTGTCATGAGAAATGCGGCTAAGGGATGCAAGCGATAGGGCTCAGAGGATGCTGCAGCGCTACTTAGTGCAAGACGGCCACCTTTTCGTGAGAAGAGAAGTGGGGAATCCCAGGAGGGTCGTCTGCAATAGGAATCGTCAGATCGACGTCATAGCAGCACTTCACGATGGCATTGCAGGAGGGCATCGAGGGGTACAAGCCACGTATGCCAAGATAAGTGAGTTGTACTACTAGGATGGAATGATGGACATGGTCGGGAAATTCTGTCGATCCTGCGTGCCCTGGTAGGAGAGATCCCGTTTAAGGCAAGGAGAGCCGCTGCATCCACGGTTAGAGTGAGAGGTGGGGGTCGTAGTGCATCTCGATCTGCTTTTTATGCCACTTGGGGATCAGGGCTATAACTATATTTTCGATGCACGCGATAACCTGTCGGGGTTCGTAGACGGGCGTGCTATTCGCACCCAGACCAGGTTAGTCTTAGTGAGCTGCATCGAGGAATATTACCTGCGTTACCCTTTCGTCAAAGAATTCGTAATGGACAGGGGATCGGAGTTTACCTGCCAGGAGGTGCAAGAATTGTTATCAAGGTATGGTGTAGCAGCCAACTACACCACGGCCTCGCACCCCCAGGCAAATGCTCCCGAAGAGAGAGGACATCGTACCATTACGAGTCTCCTGGCTAAGTGGACCGAAGGTAGGCCTAATCAATGGCCAAGATACCTAAGGGCGGCGTTCTTTGTCGAGAACATTACAATAAAAAGATCCACCAAGCACGCACCGGCGACATTGTGGTATGGAAGGCACGCCACCTTCCCTATCGAGAGCTTTCTTAAGACATGGAGGCGCCAGAATCTGAAAGTTAACCTGTCATTTGAAGAATTGCTCGATATTCGGGCGCGGCAGATAAGAGCGATAGAAGAAAGGATCCAGAAGGCGTCTGACCAGGTCGCGAGAAGTCGTATGGACGATAAGGCTCGATGGGATCAATCTGCGCGGGTGAGGAARGTACCCTTGGCAGTTGGAGATGTCGTGCTTCTCTACGATTCATCACTGGAGAAGCAATRGTCMAGGAAGCTCGATAAGAGGTGGTTAGGTCCCTACCGGATCGTACGGGTCGGAGAYTTCGGAGCGTATCAGATTGAGGAGCTAAATGGGACTGAGTGGAAGGATTGGGTATCTGGAACGCGACTGAAGAAATTCGTGGCGAGAGAAGAGGTAAGAGAAACGACTTGACTGCCTTTAGAATAGAAGTAGCAGGGTGTGTAGGCTAGGTAGGATGTATGTTCTGTGAGTGTGGTCTGGTCTAAGTTTGCTTGATTATCACTTGTTTTGCTTACCCCAATGTGTGCCTGTAGTCTCCTTCGCCTGTTGTGCAGGTCTGACTTTACGAAGACAGCCATGCCAAGAGGAGGGAGGGGGACACGGCTGCCTCGGAGGCCGTTGGGAGCACCAGGAGGATATGAGCGACATGGGCCTCGCCATCGAGAGAGTACTCCCGTATACAATGATGGGGACATCGAGCTATTCCAGGACAGCTTTTGGGATCATGCGAGGCGTATGGGCTGGACCGTGGATCAGGCGATTGAGAGATTGAGGGGAGCACGCAGATTCGAGGAGCCCATCGCGTGAATCTGTAGAGAGGCGACGACGAGATCAGAGGTGGAGTGGAGGATGCAGGAGTTGCGACCCTCGCCTGTGGGGCCTGATGGCAGGCCGATCCGCCTGGAGATTGGAAATGCGTCGCACTTCATCCCCGCGTTTGAGTGGTTCATGCAGGGGCAGGGCATACCGAGAGATGACTGGATGCAAACGCTACCACTCTGGACCAGGAAGGCGGAAAGGCCGTTGGCTAGCCAAATCGGAAACATGGCCCGGGACTGGGAGAGCTGCAGGGCACATCTAAGAGAGGCCTTTCAACGGCCAGAGCCCCCCCAGCCCAGAGTCGAGAGACGTCAGAGGAGTCAGAGGTCGAGGGACCCTGAACCTAGGGAGGTGAGACAGTCTCGGGGAGGACGGAAGGCCCTAGCCAGGAGAGAGGAGGAGCCGGAGCGGAAGCCAGAGGTTGAGGAGCGAGGGGCATACCCTGAGTGTGGGTTGGGACCAGTGGAGTTCCATCGTTTTACTGAGGGTGGATTGAGGAGGTCACCAGCACACACACGGGAGGAGCCGCCATTGTCTGAAGGGCCGTTGAAGGAGTTGGAGACGCATCTGGATATCTCTCAGTGGAGAGCGTCGCCTAAGGGTGAGGAGCATGAAGAGTAAGTAGAAGGGGTGCCACGAGAGGAGGTACCACAAGAGGAGGTGCCACGAGAGGAGGTGCCACGAGAGGAGGTACCACGAGAGGAGGTGCCACGAGAGGAGGTGCCACGAGAGGAGGCGCAGGGTACTCAGCGAGAGAGCAGGCTGGGCGACGGGGGGAGACGTGCAGGGAAGGAAGTGATAGAGGTTGGAGAGGACACGCCCCCACAGACGCCAGCGGTGGGTTTGAGATTCGGGGATACACCAGGGAGCACTCGTCAGGCAGAGGAGAGATTGCAGAGAGAGGAGGCCCCATTTCCTTCATCAGAGAGGGCTCCATCGCGAGAGGGGAGAGCCGGCAGGAGGAGAGAAAGGGCAGTTGTAAGGAGGGAGGCCTTGACCCTGATTGATAGGCACCTAGCAGCTTATGCCCTGGAGCATCCAAACCTGGAGGAGCCGGCACCTGCAGAGCCGCGCCAGGAGCCGTACCAACCCGAGAAGGAGATAGAAGCAGAGATCCCAAAGAGGGTCGACCTCCGCACGAGGGAAAGGGCGCCAGCTGGAGCGACGACTGAAGAAAAGAGGGCGAGAAGAACCAGACGGATAGATGAGATTTGGCAGGAGAGGCAGAGGTTGGAGGCAGCGGGGGAGTTTCCGGAGCAGCAACAGATGAGGCAGAGATCGGAGGCAGCAGGAGCACTCCCAGGTCAGCCACCCAACGCGCCAGCTAGGGCCCCGGAGATCCCCGAGATGTGGAGAGACTTTTGGGAGCAGAGAGGAGAGGAGCTTCCTTCGCCAGTCAGAGCCGGGCTTGGGGTGGCCAGGAAGGCGGAAGAGAGGATAGATCGCAAAATCAAGTTCCTGGCCAAAACGACCTTTGACCGACACTTGTTATTGGAGTGCGACCTGGCAGGGAAAAAATTAAAGGAATCAAGTCATGGAGTACGCCTGGAGGCTATGGAGATGGAAATCCAGGAACTCAGGGCATTGGTGGCCAGTCAGGCAGCTATCATTGAGACCCTGAGGCAGCAAACCCAAGAAAAAGAGGATAAGTCAGAGAGCAGCAGACACTGAGAGAAGAGGCAGCCGGGACAAGTTTTGCCAGGATAATCATCTGCGGCAGGGCCTTGCCAAGAGCCACCTATGGGGAGAGTTATCTTGGAGCCAGAGGAGGCGAGAGCCCAGAGACAGGCAGAGAAAGAGGCGTTCGAGTTTAGAGCCCCTACAAAGCTTGCGACGCTTCCAGTGGCAGCGGCAGGCCCAGTCGTACCTTTGGCGATTGAGGAGGGGCTACCGCCATCTAGCAGTGAGCCGGCTCAGGGGTCAGAAGAGGGATCCATGGGCGTACTTCTTGAGGCAGTGCATACCATGCAGAAAGAGGCGAGTTTGTTTTCACCCGAGCAGAGGATAGAGGAGCCGCTTGAGAGAGAGATGGGGATTAAGGCGGAGGGTGCCATCGAGAGCAGGCTCCAAAGGATGGGCACACCTGAGGACCAGAGGAGATTGAGGAGCAGCCCACGATAGTGCTAGGAGAGACACTCGAGAGGAGACCTCAGAGGTTGGACACGGCTGAGTACGTCCCAACGACAGGGGATTTGAAGAGCAGACTGGGATCTTGGGCTAATGGACCTGGGTCTGGGGGACCGGTTCCTGGGACAGAGCAGCAGGAGGTCGTTAGTACCGCAGCCCCTCGATCAGAGCAGCAGGAGGTTGTCAGTACCTTGGTAGGATCTCCTTCATCGCCATCTCCTCAACCCAGGAAGAAAAAGTTCAAGAGGAAGGTAGATCAGCTACATTTCTAGTGCAAGAAGGACGTGCATCATGCTATGGACTATCTCGAGTTCCTTGAGGATATGGCAGCAGGAAAGGTCTTAGAGGTAGGAAGTAAGATGTATGATAAACAGGGTACGATAATAGAGAAGTCTGCAGATGGACTTAGGGCTCAGTTATATAGGCAAAACCAGGAGGAGTTGAGGAGATAGCGCCGGTTTGTCTATGTGAGTGGGCGAGTATCTTTGTGAGGCATCAGCTTAGGGTCTGTGTGATACTCTCTTAGACTTAGAGGACCTTTTTTTTTAACTCTAGTGTCCCTACTGAGCTGGGGTCTTAAGGTTCAGGGTGATTTAGATGAGGCATGTACATATTTAGGTGGCCTACGCACAGGTTTTGAGAGACAGATCTGACATGTATCCTAGGGGTTGTTGTCARTATGGGTTTGGTGTGGYTTGAGTTGAGTGAGCTATGATTTGGAGACAATTTTTGTGTGAGGCCTTTTTATTCCCTGAGTGTATATTATGATGAGGTTTTATTTCAGGGACCATTCATATATATGATGATCACTTGTCACTCTCACATRTGTGGTTGTACTCTGATGTATGATGAGTTTGTGTAGACAATGTGTGAAAAACATCTTATTTTGCCATAGGTACAGTGAATATGATTGTAAGCAAAACTGCCTACTCCTCGGTATACTTGTGCGACCTGCCCACGGGCAGCTGATAGGGCAGAGTATAAGGGGAGGGAGTGCAGTCTGTTTGTGAAAAGTTGTGAGGATTTTAAAAAGTCTTATGAGCCCTGGAGGCTCAAAAAGCTTACCATTTTGATTATTGATTGTTTAAGTTGTGATGAGGACTCATAAGATGGTCTCTCAGTGATGTTTTCTTTTATGATGAGAGCCCCCTTGGATTTCTGGGGAAGGGGATGTTTTATGATGTTGTGTGTTTGTGATGAGACCCCCTCGAGTTTTGAAAAAGGGAAGTTTGGTTTTATGGCGAGACCCCTCGTGATTTTTGGAAGAGGGGTTGTTTTGTTTATCATGAGAGCCCCTTGGATTTTTTTGGAAAAGGGGAATGGTTTATGGTTGGAAGGCTCACCCTCAGAAGTGAGTAAATTGATTTATGGCATGACGAGTTGTTTGATGGGTGATAAAGTCTGACGGAAAGAGCCACTTTTGTTTGGAATGTTTGAGAAAGTCACAATGAGTGCAGGGCGAGAGACGTCTCAGGACGGCTGGTTACTGGCTCTGATCAAGTCAGTGGTCACGGTCCGGTGGACTTAGCGGTGATTTTGTTTGTGAGCGTGCGAAGGATGCCATGCCTATTGCGGAAGGGTTGGTAGATGCCTTCGGACCCCTACGTATCGCGCACTGGGCCTGTGATTTTTTTTGTGACGCCCCGCCTAACCACCTGTGCTAATTCTGAGACATATTGAAGAAAGGCCAAGCTAACAGAAAAGAAGTTAGTACCTCTAGGGCATAACCCCATTGGATAGCTGCTAGTCGGGGCAACCTGGCTGCGGGACCGCGTAGGTAAGAGTTTAAGGGGGGTGCCCGCCCCGGTGAAATTACTCCGCGGGATAGTGATGGTTGATAATTTTTTTTTGGGGGGAGAATCCTAATTGAATGCTTATCAGGAGGAAACCTATCGTTGCGTAACCAACGAGGGGTACTGCCGCTAAATAACAATGCGGTGGGCCGTAGTCCTGGTCCGATTAGCCAGGCTATGGTGGGCCAAGATGGAGACCTAGCCTTTCTGTACTATACTGCAGAAAGAGCTAAGCGAATATTAAGTATACATATATACTTATGTGTTTTTGATTGCGAAAGATTTTGAGAAGGAAGGCGAGAGTGCCTTCAAAAGGTCTCGATTAAGGCCCGCGTCCCTAGTTTTTGCCAGGACTAGGGACACCCAACGAGAAGCCGAAGGTTGTCTAGGACCGGGGGGAGGACGATTGGAAAGGTCTTTSGAACTTATGCTGTCAGCATTCTAATTTCTGGGTGGTGAGAGGCCCAGGTTAAAAACCTGGCAGCATATAGTTGTGGAGGCACGGTTTGATGGAGGCCTCTACCCTGTGTTTGTCGGCTAATCGGATTGGCTCGTTTTCCACCAGCATTTGGAGTGTGGGTGGGTTTATAGCCTTCTGATTTGACGAAGCGACGGGGACGTCGCTTAATATGGTCCGGTAAGCTGTCGGTGCGAATACCCTTACAAGGGTATCCGCCCTGGTTTTTGCAAGTAACCGAAAAACGGTTTTGGCTTAGAATTTAAGTATACCGCGCTAAGCGCAGCTGCGTCTGTAATTGCGTTGATTGAGTGGTTGACCACAATAGCGAGTGCGTGGGCGTGCAGGTTTTAGGCGCGCGTGATTTTTTTTCTATTGTTGATCGTAGAGCCGTCCCGGACCTTGGTCGTTTTGCTTGGTGATATTATTTATTATTTATTTATTTTTGATTAAGCAGGAATTAAGGATATTTTCTTTTATTGGTACTTATATAAGCAATCCGGCGCGGGCAAATGGGAGCCGCGGAGCCGTTTTGTTGGCCCAAAGCGTCGCGCCGCACTGCCTATATGGTATTCTTCGGTACTCAGTCCCAGGCTTGGGCTTAGCCCTATAGAGTACGACTTTGGATTGATAGTACGAAGGTTAAGGGATCGAGGCCGGCGAGCGTAGACGCAGTGGCAGCGGAGCATCGAGGAGGAAGCCGATGGGGTTGAGGGCCGTAGGGCTACCCCGTTTGGTTTTGCCATTTGGCGGCGTCAGAGCGGTGGAGGGGGTATCCTTTAATTTGTCTTTGGCGACTGGAAGTTTTTAAGATCAACTTTTTCGTTGGTACCTTTTTATTTGAGCGCGCGCCTCCGTTCGTTGACTTACGGGTCCCCTCGAGTTCAAGGTGTTGGCAAAGTTCTTTTATCTTGTATGTCCTAAGAATATGGGCCGGGGGAATTAACGGACATTCGAGCCGGTAGATGATTAGCCCATGAGGCAGGAGGAACCTGAGTGGCGGGGACCCTCTCCGGGTGTGAATATGCCCCGCCCGCCTACCACGATCCGTTGTAGGAGGTTTGGGTGTGAGTATGCCCACGGGGTTTCCCTCCGGTTCGGGTCTCAGAGTTCTCACTGGAATATTTGCTATTACCTCTAAAATCAGTGCTGGGGACGGCTGCACCAGGGGGCATGGTACGGGCCTGCGGCAGGGGCATTCAGCCGACACAGCAACCCACGTACCTATGAGGGAGCCCGACTGTTGGAGGCCTGAGGGGTTGGAGCATTCCGCCTGGGCGGAGTGAGCACGCAGGGACAGACTGTAATGGGGCTGGCCCGGCAGCAGCGGGCCATTACGACCATCAGACGCTGCGCTAGCAGCAGCAAGCCGCGGGCAGTAGTACCAAGCAGGCAAGCAACCGGACAGTAAGACTGGCCGGAGCGTTGTGTAGCAGTCGGGCACTATGCTAATGACGACGGGCGGAGTGAGGCAGCAGCGCAGCGCAGCTAAGGTGGCGGAGCAAACGGGCATAGCGCGGTTACCGTGCCAGCAGCGGAGCAACAGGTGGTAAGGCGATGAAGGAAGGGCTATGAGGAAGGGGGAAAAGACGAATGAACCGGGACGGGATTTGGCGCCAGGTGCATTCACAGGAAACAAAGATGGCGGAGAGTAGAAAAGGGGGGGGGAGTGAAGTTGCAATAACTCACTCAATTCTTGACCGTTCTTCACGATTTGAAATGCTAGATTTAGTTTTTTTGACCGGGCGAGTCAAATTATGCTGTTAGTTTGAGCTAAAACTTAGTAGTTTGGGAGTTAGTAGAGAAATGGTGTGCGCAGAGATGGAGGGAAAGTGAAGAAGAAGAAGATGGAAAAATGCATATCTCACCCGTTTCCGGACGAAAACGGGCAAGGGAGGATGCTAAATAGGGGTTCTTCGTATTTGCGAGTTAGATTATGAGGTTAGTTTTTAAAGTTAGTGGGTAGACCTTGAGATATCATAGAAAGGAGCTGCGCCCATTGGAGTAGTCGCTGCTACACAGGAAAATATAATAAAAAGGAGTGAATCAGACCGTCATCTTGGGGAGGATTCATTTTCCTCTTTTATTCTTTTTATGTGTGCAAACTGCGGGCTCGGTGCTCGCCATCCTGTTCTCATTGAAGATGATGGTTGCCGGGAAGATTACCATCCGCCGGTTGCTACCATTCGTACCTTGGTGGCCGGGCTATTGCTCGTAGAAGGCGCAATGTCGATCTGAGTCTTTACACCGACCGTGGGTTTTATCCCGATCACAGGCCTCCTCAAGCGGAACTTGCTCTCCTTCCCGTGGTCACACCTGTTCTAAAGTCGTGGGTGTCATACTAATAGTGGCTGCTGTTGCGACCCTTGCCTTCTATGATGTCTGAATGAGCCTGCTCTTACGATTAGAGGTGAGCGACAGCGATATGGGTCATCAAAGGGAAGGAGAAGGACGGGGGTTGGAGGGTGCCTATTTGCGGAGACCAAGGACAGTGGGCGGGGGAGCTAGTACGGTCCATGAGGTAAGAGAAGGARAGGTAAYGGGAGCTGAGGKAGACCTGGCTTGCAACTGGTAGGGGAAGYTGGCCACGTTCGGGGGCCGGAGGTCGAGTTCCGGAGCCAAACTAAGGGAGATGCATGGTCGTTCTGAGTTGGAAGAGTGACCGGTCTGAGCACAGATTGATAAACTGAGATCTCTTGGATCCTGTCGCAGTGGTACTGTGAGTTTTTTGGACCATTGTCACTGAGGCTCGAAGTACCATGGTGAATGAGATACTCACGGACTGCAGGTGCTTGTTGCGATTGC